CGGAGGCTAGTAGACGGAAACACTAATTTGTCCGTTTGCGTAACTTCTTTCACTGGTTGTAGAGTATCCCCAGTCACAGTTAAACATATGATAGACCCACTCTATCAACCACTACTCGATAAGTACCCTGGGATACAACAAACTCAACCGAAACTACCGTGTGTAACCAGCAATGTTACACATCACATCACGACTACAGGACCACCTGTATTCTCTAAAGCACGACGACTAGCTCCTGAAAAGCTAAGGTTAGCGAAAAACGAATTCGATCACATGATAGATCTAAGAATCATACGACCGTGAAGTAGCCCATATGCATCTCCGTTGTACATGGTCCCTAAAAAGGACAGCAACGATTGGCGTCCAACTGGTGACTTCGGCGATTGAACGCGAAAACCATTCCCGATCGTTACCCGTTGCCTCACATTCACGATTTGACAGCTACCTTGAAAGGTACAACTATGTTTTCAAAAATCGACTTGGTTAAAGCGTATAACCAAATCCCTATGGCTACTGACGACATACCGAAAACAGCTATCATAACTCCTTTCGGACTCTATGAATTTTTGCGAATGCCTTTCGGTCTAAGGAATGCTGCTCAAACATTCCAAAGATTCATAGACGACGTTTTTCGAGGTCTCAACTTCGTACACGCGTATGTTGATGACTGCCTAATCGCAAGTCCGGACAGAGAAACACATCTCAAGCATCTGGATCTTGTTTTCGAACGACTTCAAAAACATGGCATAACTGTAAACGTTCAGAAATGTCAAATCGGAACCGGCTCATTAGACTTCCTAGGAAACACTATCGATGCTCAAGGCATTCTACCCCTTAGAACCAAAGTGGAGGCCATTCTGGATTACCCAGAACCGACCACCGTCAAGCAATTACGCACGTTTAACGGCCTCGTAAGTTTCCATAGACGATTCATACCGAAATGCGCATTACTCATGAAACCTCTGACCGACCAACTTCGTGGAAATGCGAAATCCATTAATTTGGACGAAACCGCACGAAAAGCATTCTCCACAATCAAGGAACTTATCGCTAAAGCAACAATGCTTGCACACCAGGACACCCGAGCACTCATTGGTATCGCAGTAGACGCATCCGACTCGGCAATCGGAGGAGTCTTACAACAATGGGTTAACAACTACTGGCAGCCATTGGCATTTTTCTCTAGACGGTTGCTAGACACCGAATCGAGGTACAGCACATTCGGTAGGGAACTCCTAGCTATGTATTGTGCTGTACGGCATTTTCAACACTACATCGAAGGCTGTGAATTTACCCTTTTCAATTACCGTAAACCGCTTACCTTTTCGTTAAGCTCTCCTTCTGACAAGTACTCACCTCGTGAGTCTCGACAACTGGACTACATTTCGCAGTTTACTTCAGACATCCAACACATCTCTGGAGCAAACAATGTAGTTGCAGACGCTTTATCTCGCATAACTTCCTTGAACAGTTTCCAAGGAATCGACCTTCTGAAACTTGCCCAGCTTCAAAAAGAAGACACTGATCTTCAGCACGAGTTATCGTCTACAACCCTCAAACTACGCATCAAACAGCTGGAACAGGTAAGGAAACCTTACTTTGTGACACATCTACAGGTAGGAATCGTTCAATCGTGCCGAAATATTATCGACGCAATGTCTTCAACACATTGCACAAACTTTCGCATCCAGGTGTTCGTGCAACCATCGAGCTTATAGCAGAAAGTTTTTGCTGACCTGGAATGAATAGACGTGAGGGAGTGGGCACGCTCCTGTTTAAGCTGCCAAATATCTAAGGTCATCAGACACAATAAATGTCCCTTAGGCTCGTTTAAAACTCCCGATGCTCGTTTCGACCATGTTCATCTGGATTTGGTAGGACCTTTACCAGATTCAAATGGATACTCTTATCTTTTAACCTGCGTAGACCATTTCACTCGATGGCCAGAAGCAGTACCTATCAAGGACATCACTGCTGAAACAGTGGCCCGCACCTTCGTCGAACGATGGGTAGCAAACTTCGGTTGCCCTTCAACCATCACTACAGACTGCGGACGTCAGTTTGAATCTGAACATTTCCGTCGTCTGACCACACTTTTAGGAATCACTCGTTTCCGAACGACTGCCTACCACTCACAAGCAAACAGGTTAATAGCAAACTTTCACCGACAACTGAAAGCTTCACTATCAGCTGCAAACGTTTCACAGTGGACTGACGCTCTTCCACTCGTCTTACTAGGTATCCGCAATGCAGTGAAAGCTGACATTGGATACACTGCAGCTCAACTCGTTTATGGAACGACACTTCGACTTCCAGTGGAATTCGTGGATCCTTCATCCTCTTCAATGAACATGGATCTAACCTCCTACACGAACAGGCTTACAAACGCAATGCGTTCAGTTAAACCTGCTTCCACTCGACCTCAATCAACTGATGTTTTCGTTCAACCTGACTTACGATATAGTACACACGTTTTCGTTCGTCGAGACTCGCATCGACGACCTTTCAATCAGCATACGAAGGACCCTTCAAAGTTCTTCAACGCGAACCGAAGTACTATATAATCGATAAGAACGGAACCAACGATAGCATCAGCATCGATCGCCTCAAAGCAGCGTACTTAGAAGGAAATCCTATCTACGTCGATTTTCCTTCGTTACAATCGAACGACACGACTCCACTCGTAATTCCTCAACCGACAACCAATACTAGCCATGATACTCCGCATGTATCCGAAACTAAACCTAGAACGACGCGTTCTGGAAGAAGGGTGAGATTTCCAGAACATTTAAACGACTATTGCACGTAAGGCACTTCTCGACATTTTATATTATTTTTAAAAAAAATTTTTAATATGCTTATATATTTTTATTTCTATTTAAAAAAAACAAAAAAAACAATTTTTTTAACGCTATTACGTGTTCATGAGTTTATTTTCCTTTTTTTTCCGCCGACATTGTGTTTTTACGCACATACGAATGTATTTTCGACATACACTTACATTTTCTTTTTTCTTTTCCAGGACGGCTGGAAAAGAACGATGACGTTTATGAGGATCCGAAATTTTCCATGTACATTTTCTTTTTTTACTATGTTGTACCTCCGTCCCATATAGTAAGGAAAGACGACCAGACGCTGCTAAATTTAGTAAGCTATCAGAAGAGTGTTTACCAACGACAAACTCGTTGGGTTTAAACTTCTGGCTGGCCACGTCTTAGGGTCGTCACTACCTCACTAGGGGGGGAGTGATCTGTAGCGGTAAATAAATCCCCAAAATAAATAGCCCTAAGTTTTCGACATTGGATGCTGACCATATGTTTTAGTGGACTCATCTAGCTGAAGGCGCTCGGTCATGCATCCGCACCAGATCACGTGTGGTAACGCCGTGCTCAACATCAACCGCAATCGCTAGCCAGATTAGATCAGAGAATTCCGATATATTGGTCATCGCCAAATATACTCTTCCGATCTCCTCGACTCTGTCTTTTGATTTCTCTGGGTGGGAACGAAATACATTAGAAGGTGTTACTGGTAGAAGCGTTGTCAAACACTGAATACCTGTGACATCATCAAGAGTTTTAGTTGGACAGGTGGATTCAATAAGACTTAGTTTCCTGGTAGGAAGGAAAACTGGACTTACTGAGTTTGAAATGGTTTTAGCATATGGTGAATGCTATCGAAACCGTCAGTTTTTGAAGACATAATTACCATAGAAATTGTCTAAACGTTATCCAAAAAACATAATTCTAATAGAGGAAGGCTGAAATCTAGGCTGTTACAAGTTACGTTTACTTTGAACTGCCTGTTTCCTTCTCTATAAGCAGATTTTCGTAATAAGGACGGTATTGGAATCAGACAAATCTCATCAAACAAAGGCCGACAACTGAAACATCTGTCAGATAGTTTTCATTCCTTGGATGATTGTACACCATTCTACATGAAGCTATCGTGTACCGGATGACACCATAGCGCAAAGAAAACATGGCTTGGCGACCAATAAACTTTGGCCTCTAGAGGAGTGAGCATAATAACGGTTATTTACTGCTTCACTCTCCGAAGTCGTCCATCCGGCTTCGTTTGATGAACAAAAGAACGAACATATACAACATACTAATAGCGTATCCCGGGCGTTTGGCCATTTTACTTGCCTTCACACAGCACGTAACGCGTCTAAGTCATTTGACGACGTTACATGGTATATATTTGATAACGAGCTTGCTGCAAGAGACTGATAGTGTATCTAACTTGGTTTCATTTTGGTGGGTCTCGTGAACCTTTCTAACATACCACTGGTTTCCGCAAACGGATATTCCGTATTAGTTTGGCTCAATGATGGAAGAGGTTCATGATGCTATAGAGAATAACAAACCGAAAATCGTTTTCTTCCATAGTTCTCCGTAACTTAGTTGCCCTTGCAATTCTCAATGCCGTCTTCTGCAATGCCTAATTAACAGAACAATTAAAGACTTCAATTTCTTAATAAATACAGCACTCACAAGTAAAAACACTAAACGTGCACTTGAAAGCAGCATGTAAATATTTTTAAGGTTCACCATTATTTTCTTTACTTTGTTGATGAACATAATGAGTGCACGTCATATAAACTGATGAGATTACTGTTTCATTTGTTAAAAATCCTTAAAGTCGCGTTCTAATTCTTTCCAACCGAAAAACTTTTGATCGAGAAATCTCTCGGAAAATAACGTTCAGGTTTACAGAAGCCGGGACGAAACCAGTTGATGCAGCAGTACCACTAATCGCTATAGGTAGGAAGCAGTAAAACAACGCATGAATATCTTTTAGCTATAGCATAACAGAAACAAAAGCAATTGAATTGACCAGTCGGTAAGAATGTTCAAAGAACTATGTAGCGGTTACGAATATATATATATATATATATATATATATATATATATATATATATATATATATATATATATATATATATATATATATATATATATATATATATGGAGAATTTATATAGCTGACCACATCGCGCTATTCAAATACGGAATGCCAGCCGCTATTTCAACTCTACAAGGTCGTGTAAACCTTAGTGAGGAAATTGTAAGCTGGGGCTGACTTATGCATATATATGGACTGTGTGGCCCGCTGTGTCTACTTGACACGTGATGTGCTCCTACTCGTTCAACTATCTGTTGCCAGTTTCGATTTCATAATTGTCTAAATGTGAAGTTTGTGTGATTAGTGATTGTCGTCTGTTAACAGCAATTGCTTTGCCTTATAAATTTAAGTTGATTGTGTGGGCTTGCTGAGTCGTCGACTCACCTTTTCTTTTGTTCTCCTTTTCAGCCCTCATCACTTACGCTACTCTGAATGCTCCCTTAGTACACAAAGTACTTTCTGGTGAGACGCAAACTTCTACAGGTGACCATATTTCGAAGTATCTTTTTATAATGACTCTTGAAATAAAATTTAGGTGTTTATCCTGAGAAATTACAAATTTGACTTTTGAGTCAATTTTATTACTATTTGTTGGGAGTGTACTATAACTATCGACTCAATATTGAATCATGCATTCTCTCCTTATGTACGTTTATATCGTCTTAACATAGCATATGTACGTTAGAAATCAGACATATAGGTGAATGGTTTGTTAGGAAACTACGGTTACGATACAAAGAACTTATAAAATACCACCTCATTGTTAAATCATTGTTACCATTCAGAATTGTAGTAACTGTTTTGTGAATCCCGAATTTTAATAAAAACCAACCGACAACATAAAGTGAGACTTCCAGTAATGTTTGTCGATGCAGAACACTGAATCTGTAGGACAGCAACCGAAAGTTTCCATTTCAAATTATTACTTACATTTTCTCTCCGACAGCGCTTTTAGAGCTCATCTCACTTCATGAAAATAAGCTTGCGATGTTATACAGTTCCACAAGGTCTTTTCTTGTGGAAGTTGGCAATAAAATACGCAGTGTTAGTGCGCCTAATGACTATAACATAACTAATTGATATACTAATAAAAATTATGCTCTTCTGAAGTTCTTTTCTTGTTGTATTGCCAAGAGTAATATGGCTGGCCGTTCCAGGTTTCACTGCATACGATAAGATATAGCGCATGGAAGTTTTGGGATTGTCATTCATTGATTGTGGCACAATGACCATCTGACATGTAAAGTTATAATCCAACGAGTTTGTCCCTCGTGTCTTCTTGCTAGACACGCATCCAACGTTCACAGTTCCCCTTCAGATGTCAAAAAGAAATAAGAACTTGATAATCTAATGTCAAGTTCCCATAGATAGTCATGCGCATCAAACTTAGACTGAGACATGAACTGCATAACATTTGCACTGGATTTTGATATTGCTGACGACATTGATACAGTACAGTATGAAGTTTTGCGAATCTAAAACAACTTAAATTGTACATGTTACTCAATTACAGACCCGATGTCAACAGGTGTTGATGTAGGTATTGATGGCAGCGTCTACTTGTGTAGAAAATCTATTTATAAACAGCTATAATTAGGACGTGCCCACTGTGCAATCGGTCACACTAGTGTCGAGCAGCCTGAACTTCATATAATGAGCACGCATAATTGTAGCCTTCATTTCAGCTACATTCATGCCGACTAAATCATATAAATACTCCGGTTTCCGTTTCAATGCCTCTTTTTGAAAGACCAATAGGATTACTGTGCTTACTTTTTGGACTTCCATGTATTTAGTGGCAGTGTTTTTGTCACATTATTGGCATGACAGCCCGGTAATTCGCCGAACGAAACCAATAAATCCTTCGCAGTCTGTAAATTGCTTTTAGGGAAGGAGTGTGTTTAGCTCACTACAGTAGTAGATAACCTTACTCCTGATGACTGACTAATCGTCATCTGGTTGAGCACTTTTTCTGGTCCACATACACCAGGTAGGGTACGTGCAAGTTCTTCGCCAACAAGTCATTTGCTGCAATTAGTACCTGCTTCTTACTTGGCGCATTAATGACTGCAAACTGCTTGGCGGTACGTTGAACGATATTTAAAAGTTAGTAATTATTTCGAAGTAATAACATTTGAGTACCTACTTACTCCTGTTACCCCTCGTTAAAGAGCATAGGCCGCCTACCAGCATTTTCCATCCAACTCTGTCCTGGGCAATCCTTTCCAGTTGCTATTCATCCTCTTGGTGTGTGCTTCCAATTTTCGACGTAGTTTGTTCGGCCTTCCTCCTTCCCATTTCCTTCCAGGATTCCAGGTAAGCGCTTGCGTAGCGATGCAGTTTGGTGATTTCTGTAATGTATGTCCTATCCACTTCCAGTGTCCTTTCTTTATTTCCTCCTCAGCTAAAACCTAATTTGTTCTCTCTTATAGTAGGCTGTCGCTGAGGGTTTCCGGTCAACGAACATTGAGTATGTTGTGTAGATAACTGCTTATAAATACTTGTGCCTTTTTGATGATGGCTGTAGTACTTTGCACGTCTCAGCTCCGTACAGTAGACCTTTCGTATTGAAGATTCTCACTTTGATTTTGGTTGGCAGTTGTTATATGCTCTTCAATTGTATGAATGCGTCCATTGCTTTGCCAATCATCACCTTTCTGTCTGCATCAGATCATCCTTGTTCATCGATGATGCTGATCAGGTACGTGAAAGATTCTACATCTCCCAGAGCTTCTCCATCAAGTGAGATTGGCTTGTTTACAGTGTTGTATTTGAGGACCTTGGTTTTATCCTTGTGTATGTTGAGGCCTACTGATGTGGAGGCTTCCTCCACACTGATTGTCTTGACCTGCATTTGTTGTTATGTATCGGATAGAAGGGCTAAGTCATCTGCGAAGTCCAAATCGTCTAGTTGCATCCAAGCTGTCCATTGTATTCCGTGCTTCCCTTGAGATGTGGAGGTCTTCACAATCCGGTCGACCACCAGGAGGAAGAGCGAAAGTAAACAGCCTTGTGTGACACTGATCTTTACTTGGAATGCATCGATCAGCTGTCCCGCATGCACAAATTCGCAGTGTAAAACGTCGTATGAATTCCGTACAGTGTTGACGATCTCCGGTACACCATAGTGTCGAAGAAGTTTCCATAAAGTCTTCCTATCCGGACTTTCGAATGCTTTTTCATTGTCAAGAAAGCTGGTGTATAGTGACAAGTTCCATTCATTTGATTGTTTAACAGTGATCCGAAGTGTCATTGTTTAATCAATGCACGACCGATTCTTACGGAATCCAGCCTATTGATCTCGAAGCTGGGAGTCTACTGAATTTTTCATCCGGTTCGGCAACACTGTTGAAAAATTTCCCTGGTACTGACAGCAGTGTGATGTCTCTGCAGTTCTCACATTTGCTCAGATCTCCTTTTTGGTATCCTGATGAGGTGTCCTTCTTTCCAGTCTGTGGACAGTTTTTTTTCTTCCCAAATCTTCCTGAATATAGTGTAAAGCATACTTGCAGTTACTCCTATGTCTGACTTAAACTTAAGATCTTCAGCTGGTATGTTCTCAGGTCCTACAGCTTTTTTAATCTTGATTTGTCTGATAGACACCCTGATTTCTTCGGTCGTTCGTGGAGTGACATCTATAGGAAGGTCTGTAAGTACTACTTCAATATTCGGTGGATTCAAAGGGGCTGGCTCATTCAAGGGTTCCTCAGTGTTCAGTCCATCTGTTCCTCTTCTCTTGAATTTCAGTGATTGGCTTGCCTTCTTTGTCGTTGATCGATGTCGCTGGCTTACTGTATTTCCCTACTAGCTTCTCCGTTGTTTCATACTTCCTTCTTTGCAGCTTTTTCCTGTTTCGTTACTAGGTCTTCCACATAGTTCTGCTTGTCAGCTCTAATGCTCCTCTTCACTTGTTTGTTTGCTTCTGTGTATTCAGTCTGTGCCTTGACTTTCTCTGCTCTTGTTCGGCTGTTGTTAATTGTTGTCTTCTTCCTTTATTGAAGCGCGTCCAGGTTTTCGATAGAGCTCTTCATCGAGTGTTCATAGAACTTGTTAGTTTTTCTTTAGACAATGTACGTTAATTCGTATACAGCCTTATGACCTATCACATTCATTGTATGATTGTTTCGATGTTGTAAAATCATAAAGCGATCACTTTTGAGGTTACTTACGACTTTTTTCACATGAACCTGGAGTTTTTGGAATAACGATGCTCTATATCATTCATATCATGTTAAAGCTTACGTCGGTGATATTATAAGCAACAGTTTTGTTCATACCTATACCAAGGTAATCATACGATTTCGGGATCGAATTAACAAGAGATAAAACCTGTGATTCGTTTGTCTGGTTATGATTACAAACTATTAAATCCACCTGAAGGATTTTTCGTTGAATGATGTGGATTCATAGTGACACTTATAAAACTTACATTGTGTCTTGCCTCAACGTATAACTTTCTACCTGTGGTCGGATTTATGCGTTTCGGTTACCTTTAGTTCACCTTTTAATGATTACAAAGATCTATCAACCACAGATTATTGTCCCTAATGGATTACTAATCCATCGAGGTATTATCTACACAGACTATTGGTCTGTATCATATATTACCTTACACATTTTCTCCGATATATGTATGTTCAGGTAAACTGGCTAGATAGTTCAATGTATTTCGGAATTATCTCACTTATTACATCATATCAAATGGCTCGTTTTAAAAGCTTTCACCCAACCCCAACATTTATTAGTTTGTAAAGATATAGTTAGGTCGTTTAATCTACGCTGACATTATTGTGCAGTTGCGTTAAATCGTGCCAGTTAATTGAACCTGGAACCTACAGCTATTTACTTGTTATTACTGGAGGTATTTTGCAAATGAAATACTAGAACTTACAGCTCGTTTTTCCACTGTTATCAGAATCTTCACGAAACTTGCTTAAGAAAACTACGAATAAAGGTCAAGTCTGTAATACATCTTTGTAAAACGGAATAAGTTGTGGATCATTTTGTTAGCTGAAATCTTCACTATTGCGTTTGTTTTTGTTCTTGAGTTTTCTCATATCGTCCTTCACTAATCATAATTACAAAGGAAACGCTTCACTAACACTAAACTCTTTCGAAGTCAAAAAGAAAAACGGCCACGAAAAATACCACTTGATTCGTTCGTTTCAAGGATATAAAAGTAAGAACACAGTTCAAGTTCGTATAAGTAACGATTTTAGTGTAAAGTTGATATTTTAAACTACCTGTATTTCCTTCAAGTGTAATAAAAGCTATCAATAGTTCCAATGAATTAATTGTTTATCACAACCAATTAGTAAATATACCTGGCATAGATGACGATATTCGACGCATTATTATAGAAAAATATAGTTACTATATTTCAAAAGATAGTTTTAATGGTTGAAGTTTTGTCCGAAAAACTACTGCCCATGTAAATGACGGAGACATGTGTAAACGATAGCAAAGGTTCCACGCATTACCAGTTTTCGTTTCGTTTTTAGACACGTAAATACTGTAAATGTTTATAATTTATTCGGTACATTTTATGCTTTTGGATACCTAGACAAACGTTGAAATTTGTTTCATACCTATGAATCTAAATAACGCTCAAAAAGATGTGAATCTAGAAACTGGTGAAGAAATTAAGCGTAATGAGTATCGTAAAATGAGCACGTATGACTTCGTGCGGCGTGACATTGAGAAATATTTCGCACATCCGGTAAGTTTGCCAAAAACTTATTTACGTTCATTTCATACAAAGGAAGAAGCGCTCGTAGCTCCTGAATTAGCTCAACCTCAGCTGCCTAAACCACCACCTGAATTCGTTCGCAATGTATGGGGTAATGTCACTTTTCAGTCCAAACAAATTTTAGGCTCTGCCGCTGGAGTGGGCAGTGGGGACTTTCACATTTACAGAGGAATTAGACGAAGAGAATATACTCGTTTAGAAATGATTGAAAAAACTGCGGAAGAGGTAAGACATTTTATTGTGTATCACTATTAATTTCTTTAGGAACGTTTAGATAGAGAGTTCCAAATGAAGCAAAAAGCATTAAATGATCTAGCTGCTGAAAAAACTGCTAAGAAGCGTGCTAAGCGTCAAATGAAGAAAGAAAAACGATTAAATAAAAGAAAACTGAAATCAAAATCTAAATCTGGTGAAAACAGCGATTACTCAGATGAGCAGTTAGAAAATTCTGCGCAAACGGAAAGTAGTGAATTTAATAAGATTTGACGGTCGAATTATAAATTTCACATTATTGCTCTTTCTAACTCATCCATTACATTTGTACGTAATACGTTTCCCCTTATTTCTGACAAGATTTATTCATGGGTAGTTTATGGAATTATTTAAGATAATATCCTAATTTTTATAAGGTATCCTGTTTATTTCAGTAATGCAGTGAGAAGACGAAGGTTATCAGAATCATGTAATATATTTGCGCAATATATTTCAAACAATGTGACCACATATATAATTATTAAGACATTTTTATGCGAAAAATTAAAGGTCAACTAGAAAAATTAAAAGGTAATTGGAAATAAAGAATAATAAAGTACATAATGTGAAAACCACGCTGCATAATAAATCACTATTATCAGGGTAGGTTAACGGTAAGAATAAATTGTCTTTGAACACATGAAGAGGGTTTCAGTCTCCGTATAACCAATGCTTCAATAAACCTTAGTGTGCGCTCTTCAAGGCTTTTGTACAACACTACAAAGGCTGACTTGATATCAACCTTATGACCGGTCACAACCAAATGTTTTGCAATTGAGGAAGATGTTTGTCTATCCTGCTTTGCCTGTATTGGCAGAAATAGCTATAGTTTGCCATATCAAAGTCATCAATTTTTGTGGTACTTGCATTTTGAAGACGAAAGAACGGATCTGAAAAAGCCGGAAAAATCTTGCTGTAATGATAATATTCATCTCACTTCTTTCCCATACAATCCTGATAGACATATCACTAATTTATCCTCCATTGTGTTGTCCGTTCATGAAAGGGAGGTACTTTATCTGAGTTTTAATTTTTCTTTCTATGCAACTCAAATCTCTGGAGTGATAATCATTACCCCTTTAGAAAACCTCTATGATCACTTGAGTACTTTACCCGCTTCATCCTTAGAGAATAAAAGTTGCTTTAAAGCTAAACTAGTGGATATAGCACACTAGTTTCATTCTCTTGGACCAAAGCACAGAAGCATGTTAACTTCGGAGCACAAGTCATTAAAATAGTTGCTAAATAATGCTGATATTATTATAGTTGAACATGATAAAGGATCAGATGTCATTATTATGAATAAGTCCCATTACAAAAATAAAATGAAATCCATTTTCAGTGATAAAAGCAAATTTATGACTGATGTTGACGCTGATGGATTATGTAAATTAAAAAGGGAAGTAAACTCAAATGTAATCAAATTGTTAAACACGAATGCTATCAACGAAGAGGAGTTTGATTAATTAAAACATATGGGTTCGGTGTATCCTAATTTATAGAGATTACTAAAATCCCATAAACCCGACACCCCTTTACGTCCAAATATATCAATTTGTTGGTCACCTACACACAATCTGGCAAAATGGCTGTCAAAAGTATTAAACCCAATCCGAAACCAATTTTGTAAGTATTATTTGAATGAATTAGTTGGATTATTTAAGTACCTAATGAATATGAATATAAAAAGTCTATGACAGTGTCCCTATGATGTAAACACTTTATTTACAAATTCACCTCTTAGAAAGACTTAATATTTTATGTGATTATATCTCATTAATTAAACCGTTGCCATTTTCTGTTAAAACTCTTAAACACATTATTATTATGTACTGACAACATAAAATTCACTTTTGATGGTGAGCACTTGATTGATGGCGTAGCTATGCATAGCTGTTTTGGACTGTTGTTGGCTGATGTGTTTATGGAATATGTGGAAAATCTAGCTGAAGACTCAATTCAGAAGATATGCCTGTATAAGCAGTACGTGGATGACATCATAATCATAGGTGATAAACTTGAAGATGTGAACCTCTTGTTAAAAGAACTCAACACAAGTCAAAAGTATATTTCTCTTACATGCGAAGAGAAGAATAACCGGCCTCCTTTTCTAGACATACTGATCAGTAGGAGAGATGATGGTTCCATCAAACGTTTTGTACGTAGAAAGCCATGTTTTGGTCTGGCACAAAACTATGAAGTCACTGACAAGTAGACTGAGCCGTGTTAGTAGGTGTAGACTACTTGGTTGGGGTCTGCGAGATGATAGCAACCGATGGTTAGAGACCCTGAATGACATGACTCGAAATTGTTTGCAGTGACTCAGGTGCATCCACTCCTTGTGTTCTCCCAAATTCTAATCTAAATTCTTCGCGTCCTTTATTCTCTTTCCAAATTTATTTCACTGGATTATACTCCTTAAATAACATCTTTAAACCCTAGTGTTTCCGATTACTGCTTATACGCTTACCTATACCACTATAAGATTTTAATCGACAACTGCATCTCTTATGTATGGCAACTCAAACTCATCCATCTAACAGCACTCAAGACCACTGTATTCATAATCAACCTCTTCAATTCCTATTATTCCTCCTACACCGACTTTCAACACTAAACTTCCTCTTTCGGCTTCCTCCTGAAGTGTCACCATAGCCAACGATTCTAGTGCGCAAAACATTGTCCCAGGTCTACTGAAATCTCACTCCAAACTACACATTGCAGCCTTCAACGTACACAGCCCAGGTCAAATCGGCCAGCAGGGCTCCCTGGCTAAAACCCTTGAATCTCGTACTATTGATATATGTTTTGTTTCCGAAACACATATACAGGATACTAGTGTAGTCATTCACTTGACCTCACCTTGCCAAAACGGAGAGCCGACGAGATACGCCTTCCGTGCATATGGCGACCCAATGGCCAGTTCTCGTGGACTGGCAGGTGTAGGCATAACACTAAATACGAGGACGGAACAAGCACTATTAGAGTAGATCCCCGTTAATAGTCGCCTATGTGCTGTTCGGCTAAACAGCTCCGTAAGAACTCGGAAGGATAGAGACACACGTCGTTGCCTTTTCTTTGTTTCTGCCTACGCCCTCATTGACTGCGGCCTGGATGAAGTGAAAGATAACTTTTACAGAAAGCTTTCTGAACTTATTCAAAGAGCTAAACGCTCAGACATAATACTCGTAGCAGATGACTTTAATGCCCACGTAGGTAGCTTAAACCAAACAGAAAGACATTGAAGTAGGTATTTTAGTATCCCGGCTCAGCGAACAGATAATGGTGATCGTCTGCTGCAACTATGCTCAGACAATCGTTTATTTCTAGCAAACACAAATTTTAAGCATAAGGAAAGACATCGTCTAACATGGCGACCCCCTACACCAAACCAACGATGGACTCAAATAGACCATATTGCCATCAGTCATAGTTGGAGAGGGTCGATGGAAGATTGTTGCTCATTCTGAAATACCTGCTTGGACTCCGACCATGCTTTAATACGAGCACGCATCTGCTTGCGCCTCACTGTACACAAAAAAGCAACACTAAAAAGACCCATTAGAACTGAATTGAGTAGCGAGAAAACCAAAAGTAGGTTCCAGGAAAAACTGGTCACAATCAGGTAGTTCTGAAAACGAGGCTGACCCAGATGTTGCTTGGAAAGATATGCAAAGAGCTGTGGGAATAGAAGCGACACCTATTTATCTCTGTGCTAATGTGGTATGGCAACTCGAACTGATGTACGCATGTACGTTCTACGTTGTTGCTGACTGACTGATCTAACTACCAACGTGTTAATCTGACCAGCATAGTGGTAAAAACACGTATTGATGAGTTGCATAGTCACAGAGTCTTGAAGTCTGTTGAATCTACAGTAACATGAGTTTCGTAAGAGGTCCTGTCCGAATATAACCGAATCGCAGGACGAGAACAAGCCAGTGACCCAAGAAATTGGATTTTCTATCAATGTTCGTAAATTGCAGCAGGGCATTCGATAGGTTGTCAGTCAGTTAGTCAGCTACAATGTAGGACTGGGCACATATATGCATCGGTCCAGGTTGCCACACGTCATTAGCACAAGATGAACACCAAATTCATAGGAGTAGTTAAATCAATGGTGGTAATATATAAAAGAAAGATTGCATGTAAGGATATAGTACAGGAAGAAAGATATAGTACGTACGGGAAAACAAAGTGTATACACCTACGCCATTGTGATCGATTCCGAGCCATGTCACCCAGGGTCTCCAACCATTGCTTACGATAGTCACACGGACCACAATCAAATAGTCTGCATTTACCAACATGACTCAGACCAGATGTTAGTGTCTTCAAGCACTGATGCCACGTTTTGGTTTGGCCACCCCTAACTTTCTCCCAATGATCCCCAACACCGGTTAGCATTGCACATCGATAGGTTGTCACTCATGATTTGTGCAGGAGCTTTTCAGATTCGAAATAACAAGGGGTTGGATGAGATATCTCTTCTGAGACCTAATACGGAGTGAAATAAATACGAAACCCTAACCGAATGAAGCCCTGTAAAGTGTGAGGTGCTACGAATTATTGTCTGAAGTTTCCTACTCTACACTGATGAATGTTTAGGCTATAGCTAACTTGAAACGAGGAAGAGCAGCTGGTCCAGATGGATTGGCTCCAGAGGTCTTTAGGGATGGTGGTTCAGTTTTGTCGACTAAATTGACTAATATTCTAGCTAAAATCTACGATCTGTATAACATTCCATCTGACTGATTCCAACCACTTATTGTCCCAATACATAAGAAAGGGTCAAAATCATCCTGTGATAACCATAGAGGGATTAGTTTGACTAACATAGCATCTAAAACACTAGCCTCGATAATTACCAGACGCTTAACTAAGACTCGTGAGCTGCAAACACAAGAGAATCAAGCTGGCTTCAGACCTGGTCGTGGCTGTATCGACCACATATTCACTATTCGGCAGATTCTAGAACATAGGCATACTTATTGGCGTCCGACAATGGTGGTCTTTCTTGACTTAAAAGCAGCATTTGACTCGGTAGACCGCGAGATTCTGTAGCAGTGTCTGTCATTGAAAGGCGTACCCCAGAAGTTGTTGAGGGTAATGTCCTTAATATCTGACTCCAAATAATGATATTCCGTAACTGAGTATTTAAGATAGGCTTAATCTCCTAGTAGAATTACGGATTTACTCGAGATTATTAAGAAGCCTGAACACCAGTTATGGAGATAGTTTATTATTAATGAATAATGATAATCCACAAGCGTATTGTGAGCAAGCACACGATGGGAACAGAGAGAGTGAGTTTGTTAAAAATCCATATATATTTGAGGGTTAATCAGGTGTGGATAGACTATCGATTATCTGCACGTTGAAACCAATAGGAAAATAGTTTAAAAGTTAATGTACAGACATGCATTCGATCATACCCACCGAAATTAACATAGTGAATTACGAGTC